CCCAGTGGTTTAGGACTCGCCTTTGGTTGCTTCGCTGGGGAGCAGCCAAGTCCCATAGCTGCTACCGAGACTGTATGGCCCGCAACACCCCAAAGATCTACTGTCTGACCCTCTGCCGATAAAACTTGCCGACCTCTGGTCTGCACCTTCATTGGGCTTGAGTGTAACGCGTTGATCGCCAGTGCAAGGAAGGATGTGGAAGTGAAGAATTCTGGGCTGCATCATGCGTTCAGCCATAGGGGGTGCGCTTCAGGGATCTGCCATGTCTCACAATCTCTAGGCTGGGATGGTGAAGCTCACCTCTACCTGCCCATTCACCAGGAGTGCTGTGATGGAACCACGTAGAAGCTTTGAGAAGCGAGAGTGGGGATCGAAGCCTGATTATGCGTATCCCGGAGATGGCTACGTGCAGCTGACTCTCATTTCAGGAAAGAAGGAACTAGNAGCTCTGGGACTGTTTCAGATTGGGGTCATTCTCCCCAGGCCGGGCGTTTTCTTCCCCTCTAGCTGGGAAGCTGGAACAAAATAGCAGCGGTGGCGTGAAGGCTGACCGGCCTCCAGTTGGCATAACTGCCGTTGGTCTTCCCAGAACCCAAAAAGGCTCTGCTTTGAGGTTTGTTTTGAGAGAAGGATAAATTGCCACTGTAGAAAGCCCCAATCACCCAAAATATACCAAACAGACTATTCTGAAAAGGATATTTTAAGGTAGAGGTGAATAGTAGCTACATTCCTTTTCCATGGCAACCTCCTCCTGCATTTCTGAGGTGCATAAATATTTCTGTGAGAGGATGAGTGAGCGAGAGAGGCTGGTCTGAGCTGGTCTGAAGACTGCAGCTTGTGTAGGAGAATGATCCCTGCGGATAGGACCGTCATGGGGCCGGTGGTGCAGGCGACTGCCCAGGTGCTGCGTTCACAGGGGTCCTGCAGCTGTCGTGTCACCCACGTCCCTCTGCCAGACCTCAGGTTCCCCTTCTGGGCATTTCCACTCGGAAGCCCCTGTCCTTGGCACGTCTGTGCATCTGCCCGGCTCCGACTGCTCCTCCCACATCGACCCTACTTTCTTGACGTCTGTTAAATGGCACCAGGAGTTTTTGCAGCCTTGCCTGTGCGTTATTTCAGAGATCTCGCAGAGACGTCTTGGTCTGCTGCTTCTCCCTCCTGCCCCTGAGGCACCTCCCTGGGTGTGGTTGTCCATCCTTTTTTGCTGCTGCGTGTCCCTATCCGCACTCCCTGATTCGAGGTTCTTATCCCTCCATACAGGAATTATAATGAATTCTGATCCATCTTGCTGCATTTAGGTCGTGTTTCCTCCAGTTAGAGTCTGATTTATCTGACAAATTGCCGCAAATCAAGCTTTGAAAGTGTTATGTGAAACATGTGATTCCTCATCTACAGGAGGACAGGGCTCGTTTGTCACTTTCCATAGGACATCTTTCCGGAAGCTCAGTGCTCGGGCGCTCAGCAGCGTGCAGGCAGACGGAGAGCCACGGTCTGCGATGGCTTCTGCCCCACCCCCACCCTCACCCCCACCCACTCTGCTCCTGCATTGCCCACTAGCCCAGCCGTGGGCACCTGCCTCTCTGTAGGAGCCCCTTGTTCTAGGGCTGCAAGTATGGAGATGACAACCCCGCCGTGGGGCAGCCTCCGCCGAGGGCGTCAGAAGGTGGGAGGTAGCTGCCCTGGCCTTGCCTGTAACGTGTGGTGGTGACGAGCAGGGTGTGACAGCAGGCCCCGAGTGGTCAAGATGAAGTTCCCATTAACCACAGTGGCGGTGGCTTGATGATGAACCTTGCTTTACTTGCCTGCCTCACTTTGCACAGCCGTAAGTATCTCCTGGAATCCCCTCCCAAATATACCACTCGATGGGAAGCACCGTCAGCCCCTGGGGGGAGCCACGTCAAGATGCTTCCTCGGGCTTCTCTCTTCCTTTGTGCAAAATACGGAAACACCCAAGAGCTTGCTGGGGGGAGAATCAGATGAATTAAAAAGCATGAACGTGTTTTTAAACTTAAAGCACTAAACCTGTTTGATTTTGGAATCCATATTTTGGCGAATCCGATTCTCATTTCAAGGAACACTGATGTCCTTTCAAAAATGGGTCACCACGTGCGGTGAGCTGTTGGCATCTGAGGAGTAAGGAAATGGCTCCCTCGTGAGAGGATTCTGAATTCTGTGGGATCTGTTGTTGCCTCTAAATTGTGTATTCTTCCTGCACTGCCACGGCTACTCTCCCGGGCATTGCAGCTGTGACAGGGAACACAGTGCAATGTTCTTATGAAGACAGAATATTATTGGCTGAGGCATATTATGTAAAGACAGCACGCCACGGGCAGAAAGCACCGGGCTGACAGGGACGAGAGCCAGGCTGCCCGTGCCAACCAAGAGTGTGTCCCGTGGTCAAGTTCCTCCTCCTCCTCCTCCCTGGGCCCCTCTTGAGAAAGCTGGCAGAGACCCATATGTTCTAGAACCTCATGGCTTTCCTTCTTTGCATGAGAAAATGCAGAATGAGAATCTCCTTCAGGATGACTCACAAGTTAAAAGATGTTGGCTTTGTTTGTTTCTTTGTTTTTGTTTGAAGCAGGAGGACTGAACATTTAGGGCACAGAAGCAAGCCAGGTCAGAACAGACTTCCGGCTGGCAGGCCCCGCTGAGCCAGCAGCTCGTGTTCTCCTTTGCTGGGGCAAACCCGGGTGTTGAGGGCTTCTTCTGGGACCACAGAAGGCGACTCCCGTAATTGAAATGTGTCCCCGTGGCAGTGGCAGCATCGAGGGCCGTGTTACTAGCAAGGCTCCTGGTGTTGGAGATACGTCTGCCCTTCTCTGCGTCTGCCTGTTCTCGTCGCCAGGAACAAATCCTCCTGACAAAATGGCCTTTTTCCCCAACCATACAACATAGCGTTCTGAATGACCTATACATTTGTTTCTTTTTTACGAATCAGGTTAGCTGCCATGTCTAGATTAAAAACAAACAAACAAACTCTTCTTCCGGACCGAGGAGACACTTTGAACCTGGGCGAATCATCCTCAAACGTCAGGGTGGTGGTAGCCACGCTGTGTCCCCTGCCTGCCTTTCAGTCCATGCCATTCCGCTGCGGCGACCGTGTGAGCTTGGCGGATTCTGTCGGTCAGATGAGGTCTCGGGCTTAGGGATGTTGTCGCCATGGCATTGGTCGTACCTGGGGTCGCCTGCCTCCTGGTCTTGGGCTCCCCCAGGGTCTCTGCGCCAGCCCATCAGCGAGGCGTGGTGATGACAACGGTGGTCATTTCTGGGGGGAGCACTGTATTCAGGCCCCCTCAGCTATGTGTCCCCTCGTTTTTAGTGCTCACTACAGCCCTCTCAGATAAGCTCTGTTGGGGGCTGCACTGTGTTCCCCAAATTCATAGCTTGGAGTCCTGACCCCCACAGCTCAGNGGTTGAGAACCGCTGCCCTAAAGGATAAAAAGTCATTAAGATGCTGCCACTTTCCTCATGAAACCCTTGAAGGAGAGGCAGGTTAGTGGATTCGGGTCATGACTTGGGTTGGGGGTCAGGGTACAGAGTGAGGCTGGGGTGGGCTTTGAAAAGACCAAGGCCTATAGAGCAGGGCCCGTCTCAAGGATACTAAGCTAAGAATTATATCACACGCAATGGCAGCCTCCCTAAGTTACGCTATAGATGAGCCACGTGAGGCTCAAGGTCATTGCTCAGCAGTGCTGCCTGTTCGTCACCACTCTCCTCCCCTGAGAGTGACGTTCCCACTGAAATACCCCAAATACACAGCTCTCCCCATGAGTGGCCAGGGCCTCCCTCCCAGGTTAAGGGTGCTGGGTCTGTCATCTTGCACATCAGGAGTGTCCCAGCTAGTCTGGAGCTGCAGGGAGCTGGCATTCACCTGTGTGGTCTTAAGAGTCACCTTCCCCTCTGCTCTCCCCGTGGGGGGTCTGGGGGGTGCCAGGAGTTGGAAACCACAGAAAGGAAGTGGAGGAACTGAGAGGTGGGATGGGAAGTGGAAGGTAAACAGAACCTCTGCACAGTTGTTTGTTAATTAAGAAGACATCCTGGGGCCCTCTCCCTGCAGCGTGGTGGGAGCAGCACCTGGGGTCCCCAAGCCTTTGATCCTCTAGCATGAAATAGGTCTTTGCTCTCCCATACCTGCCCTCATGCCAACATCACTTATTTTTGCCCCGGGGTCACTTCCTCTTTGCCACCCTTTGTTTTCTAAGACCTCCCAGCCCTCACAGTCTGAGATTGGAAAATCAGGTTCGCCTCAGAAATGTACAGATTGCCTTTAATATTTCGGAGGTTGTGTTATGACAGTCGAGGCCCCTGGAAAACTGAATGGAATCGTGGGAGGAGGAAAAGTGAACGTGTGTTGTTTTGGTGTTTTGCTCACTGAGACCTTTACTTTTGTTTTTTCTGTGTCTGCCCCGGGGTGGGTTAGGGAAGATGAGGTGCCCTGGGCAGACGGTCGTGCCTCTGAGGGCGTCTTCACAGCAGCGCCAGCCCTCTGAGGTTCCCAGATCTGCACTCAGAACCTGGCCTGCTTGCTTAGTTTTAAAGCAGCCTGGCAGAAGGCCCCTTCTGACGCTGGGCGGGCACGCCGGGAGGGGCCTCTGCTTTTGCTGTTAGATGAGCTCACCCGGGTCCCTACAGCCGACTTTTCATCAAGGTGGTGAGGGCGCCAGCGTGTACTCCGGCAAGTGATGACCTCACATGTCAGTGAGGAAACTAAACGCGGCCTGGAGTGTGAAGACACAGCACTTGTGACTCAGAGGGGTGGAGGGCAGGCACGGGATCCCTGGAGTCGGGAGCCCTGGGATTGCTGTCTGCCAGGCACGCACTGCATGCCGCTGGCGCTCAGTTTCTCGTCTGTACAGGGCAAGGTCATGCGGTGACGTGGGTGCAGCGTGCGGCCCCCGGAGCGTGGCTGGGAGGACCTTTGCCCCGTGCCCCAGACAGGCCGTCCTTGCGGGTCTCGGCCCAGCTCGCTTGTTCACAAGCGGTTTGTTTATTTCTTCCAGGATGGAGGAACAGCGGAGGAGAGGACTGGCTGCCTTTCATTCTGAGCTTGGCAGCGAAGGGATTGGGTGAAGTCATTGGCCAGTGGAATGCCAATTTAAGGGTGTGTGTGTGTGTGTGTGTGTGTGTGTGTATCTGTCTGTCTGTCTTTGGCATTGAAAACAGCTTTTAAAAAAGCCCTGCTCTGATATATGAAATAAACCTGGCTCCCTTGCTGTCTTTCTTGGTTTGTGGATTTATCACTTGTCGTCTTTATGCTGTTTCTTGTATTTTCCCTTTAAAACATCATGTGATGCTTTTGCAACTGGAAAGGAAATAACAGATGCCTTTCTGTTCCTAAGTCTGATGTTGTCAGCCTGAGGTTTCTGACCGCCTGTTAGGGCATCACAGAAGGGCCCCTTGCTTCACAGGCATTCGATTTACATTCAGATTGTTTTCTCTTCTTGGTTGTACTCGTGTTAGAATGATGATCTGCAGCACAGATCTGAACAGGAAAAAACAATTTTTTTCTGAGGCATAAAGGTATTTGATTTTTGATATCAAATTCCTATATAAAAGTACATTTTCTGTCTGAGAATGCTGACAGTCCACTTAAGACATCCGCTAAGCGCTGGCTCCACGCGAGGCTCCGTGAGTGGAACTTTTGGAGATCCAAAGATGTGTGACATGGGTCCAGCCTTCACACAGCTGTTAACGTGTTTGGAGAGAGGAGGCATGCTCAATCAGGACACCGTTCAGATTCTATTTCAAGAGGCACATGGCACTAAGAAATGGGAATTCTTGCGTTTCCTCACCTGTGAGGTGACGGAAACACATGTCCCATCAGGCTGTGGTGATGGCTATGTTAACTCAGGTGGGCCAAGCACCTGCTGCCTCCTGGACAACCAGTGAAACGCCACTTCCTTTCCCTTCGATTTTGTGCAGCTATTTATGCACGNCTTTTGCAGCTTTGGTTCTGACTCTGTCCAATGCAGAGAGTAAGCGGGCTTCCTGTCTGGTGTTGTTTGCCGAGTTGCAAAATCCAAAATAAGATAAGGCCCTTCAGGAACGTTGCAGCTCATCGTAAGCGTATGGCAGTGTGCCGTTCAGCTGTACTTGATCAGAAGATAGGTATATTGGGACCCCTGAGTTTCTCAGGGGCAGGGGGTGTGGGTCCTTGTCATTGGAAGAAGACATTGTCATCTTCACCCCAATGAAACAGACAAATGCCCACTGAGTTAATCAGGCAGTGAAGGAAAGGGCACATTTTAGCCATTTTTTTCCTTTGACTAGGTTTTTAAAGCAGTTGAATGGTAATACTTCCTCTCCTCATGGAGCTTACATTCTTGAGGGGCAAGAAAACAAAGAACGCATAAGGAAGGAGACACCGCGAATGTCAGAGAAGGGCTGTGGAGTGACATGCAGGGGGCAGGGACAGGGGCTGGCGGCTTTCGTGGAGGTGATCACGTGATTCGAGCCAGTGAGGGACGGAAGGGCTAGGCCTGTGTGCACTGGGAAACATAAAGAGCTGGTGTGATTGCCACACTGGTCCGACTGCTGAAGCTGTGGCATTCTTTGGGCTTGTCATGCTTGTGTTCTAAGGGGGTTCCGTTAATAGTCCTGGGGCCATTGTCACATCGAGGGAACAGTGGAGCCCCAAGGAATGCTGCCTGTTCTCCTGGCTCATGGCACGGCGGGTTATAGTCTCTTAGTGACTGAAAGTGGACTTTGGTTGTCCCCCAAGGTAGAAATGAGAGTTCCGAGGTAAGTCTCCAGGTCAGGCAAACATTCCTGGTCTTCCAGTGGTATTTGCTGTCTGTTCCATGCCTGTGTTGGCAGATGGCACTGCTTCCGCATCTGAGAACTTGGGTGCGGGAGACCAGCTCCCGCAGGTCCAGGGGTTCCCTCAGGTGGAGGTGGAGTTGGCGAGGAAAAAGGAAAAAACTTGGGGAGACACAGGAGCGCTTTCTCAAGAAATGTCTCACTTTATTTTTACAGCATGCCCCTTTTTATACCGGGCTGTTTAACCATTGTTCCATTAGTATCAGGGTTTTACTTCCTCATAATTCTTATGCTCCAGGGTACAGCTAGACCTTTTCTATGCTAAAGACTCACTTATCCCAACTACGCCCAAATCC